CGTCCACCTCGATTAGTGGCTCCATAAGACTGCTAATCTTCGCTGGGTGGCGAGGTGCACGGTCTTCGTTGCCGTGCGAGGCTCAAACAGTGTTTCCATTTACTTTGGAGCGGACTACCGTCGAGTCACCGCCTTGGGTGCTTCTGGTACGCATGAGTCCCCACAGTTTAACATGAGTCCCGATGGTGTTCATTTTGAAGGAGTGTGGAGTGGCTCCGTTGATGAAACGTGGCTCCCATCCACAGGCTTCCCGGTCTTATTTCTTCGGGTTTACACTACGTATGTGAAGTGTGGATGGTGCAGCGCAAACTGCCCATGGTTCCCCTGTAGTCGCAGGCGTCCTGGGGTTGGCCTATGGAGGCCGCAGTGACAGGCAAATCCGGAGCCATATGTCACTAACCATTCATGTGCGCCTTATGCTGGAGCTGATGTAGCACTTGTAGTGCATCTTCGCCGCAGTTGATAGTATTATTACTATTAAGTTTTGAGTAACAGTCTAATGAATACATTGAGCCATGTAGACACAGGCAAGTACTCAAGGAAGCTCGAGTGGAATAGTAATTTACACCAGACATGCAAAGCAGCTACGGCCAAACGGCATTCAGATAAGTACCCGTGAACGATCGCTATCACTGGATACTTTGCTGAAAATTTTCGACTTGCTCCTTGGAACTCAAGGGGAACCGAAGTAGCCATGCAGAGTGGCCTTCGAAGGAACGACCTTGTAGCCACGACGATAAAGCAACGGGAAGGCATCATCAGTATGTCGGTACGCGGTACCGACGCTTCGTTACTGCGCAACCGCCAACAGTCTCGCGTGGATTAAGGATACTGCGAGGGTCGCACGGCGCCCTATGCAGGTTCGAACCCTCGACCTCAGATCACACGGCAAGCTAGTGATCTTAAACGCCACGATGAGGGGCTGATCGGATAAGGAGATCTGTGGTTAGAATATAGCTAGATCAAAGTAGGATGTCGTACATCAGTTTTCGCAGGGTGGGTATTAAGGTAACCTGTCCATAGCACACCTCGGATCCCATCCTCTAGCTAGCAGCTCGCAGAAGGTTGGCCCGAAGCAGCCTGAAGCTAATTGGTCAGCCAATGAGAGCGTTTTGCCTTGACCGCTACTGGGAAGGACTTATCTTCATTGAACGCACTTCCTGAGTAAGCAATAAACGAATTTTCAGGCATCTAGTTGTTGCCAGAATCCAGGAAGTTTCAGCTAGGTCATTCACTCATTAACTACATATTCTGTCACCATCTTTTGCTGTACATGCTGTTTGGCATGTATTCGATAGTGAATATTCCTGAGGACTTTGGTTTCTAATTTGAGAAGTGGCTGAACCGTGATCCGTATATCTGTGTCGGTTATTAGCGCTGTCTTGTGAGACGCAACTTTGTTATAGTTTTGATCAGTGTCGGTGGCACCATAGATGAAACGTCTTTCTAAGATTCCTTCAGTAAATAATACGTCATGCTACTGTGCAATATAACCACCAACATTGTGTACAAAATCGAGGCCACAGTGATTGACGAATCGACTATCGGATTCCCAAAAGTCCGGGTTTCCGACAATCTCTTCTCTCCGTTTGCGATCACCATCAGAGTTGGCCAAACTTGCACTGTTTCCCCTGTCTTCTTTAATTTTTCCCATGATGATTTCATCCAACGAGCATTGTAAGGGATCAAAAACTGCGGTGTTGAGCTTCTCCTTTGCGACAGAGTCGCAAGCCTGGTGGACGATCCACATGCCGTCCAAAGACTTAGATGGATGTCCAATCCAGGATTGGCAGATGCCTGCACTTGCCCTCACCATTGCTAATGGCGCTCTGGCTGAAGCCCTTTGCTTGGCTTATCTGTGGAGATGCACCACATCTGACGGCGGTGTTGGAGATGAGGCCTCACAACATATCGTATTGGTCAGTTTTTCACCCATCAATCTGGTATACCTTTGCATCCTCACGATGCCAGTCTCAAGTACTTTGCCCTTTTAGTATATATATATATATATATATATATATATATATATATATATATAATATATATATATCATGAAAGCTCTTTCAGGATGGTTGCAACCTTGCCGGTCACATCTTTACTAAACTGGCAGTTCCACAATGCAGATCTATCTAGGGAATCAAGTGCCGCTCGGATGTACAAGAACATTATTATTGTTGTCCGTTGGTGACCATGGCGGGGTTGTAGAGGTTGTCGAAGTGTGGAGATTTGGTCGATGCAACCTCGGACTGGATGAAAACCTTTTTGTTCCTCTCGGCAAATGCTATCTCTAGTCACAGAAAGCCTGCGAATTTGGACGGACTTGCAAATTTGATAGCATCGGAGATCAACGTGATTTCACCGTAACTGGCGCAACTTCGCTTGCGTTTTTCTTTTGAGTCGGTGTAGTGACCGATTCTCCCTATGAGTTTGGGATCTACTCGCCAATCTACATCTCCGTGAACAACGATAGGGCTTCGCTGATAAGTACATTCCAGGCATCGTTGAATGGGGCCAAAGGTTGACTGTCAAAGGCGGTGGCTTTATAACGTTTCAGAGATTGGATTGCGCTTCAGATTTTTGGTTTCTGTTGGAGGGTTTGTGGATGCAATTCAAGCACCACCTGACGGAAATGGAAGGGTCACATGAGGCTATGCTGGGGAGTTGAAGTGTAATGTGTTCTGCCCTGCGACCCACTCTCCCCTGTACGTTGGTGATTTTTGTGCGATCTGGCTCACGGATTGTCTAACTGATGGCGTGCGAGTTGCAACCAGTGGTCTTAATGAGCTAGAATAAATTGTGGATATTTCCAACCATGCAGCTGCTCTCATTTCAGCAGCTCCTTTTTTTACTACCAACATTTACGGTACCATCGAAGGCTTGATCTCATTTGTTTGGAGATATACCGACGGAATTCGTTGTGCTCCTCATCTGTAGGCACAGGCCGTCGACGATCTAGAAATTCTGAGGATGTTGGCGAGATCCAGCTTCTGGCTGTGCAGCTGGCGAGGCTGTGGCAGCACAAACCCGGCGGAAATCATGGCTTTTTGCAAAACTGACCAGGGTTGGTCAACATTCTGAGTAAGGGAAAGAGTAAAACTTTCTCGAAGCCTTTGTCGGTACCCCGTTTCCACAGTCGGGTCATTTAACTTTCAGGTATTCAGTCTTGTTTGTTTGGCCCTAGGTGAGCCACCGAAACACATGCAAACTGTCGCGCGCACTGATGCATGATCGGTTTCAACGCAACTTTGTCAAAATGTTCAGCAACCGCGTACGCTGCCGCGACGTCTACGACTTATGTCTGTTTGATTCTTTTGTGACCAGCGCTGGGTTGACAATGTAGGTCGCCAATTGGCATAGTTGCGTCTAGAATAAAAAAAGCTCGTGCTGGAGAGGAAAGTTGGTGGTCTGCACATAGACTGTGCAGTCTCTCCTTTTTCATAGCGAATGTCCTCATATCCATGCGGTTCTCTGAGGGGCGTACACCAACGGATACGTGAATTGAAGTCTCCTGCCATGACGATGATATCGCTTTTAGACACCCTTTGTATCAGCCCATGTAGGTGTTGACAGAACTGGTCCTTGACTGTTCCTGAGCTACAGCCATTGGGTGGGTAGGCGATCACAAAAAGAACACTTGTCGGCCCTGTCTGTTAATCTTACAAGAGTCACTGAGCCTCATGGCGTAAAAGCGTGTTGCTTAGAATGAACTCAAGCAGGACAGCCTCGGCTCTAGCACAGAGCGATTCCAGATGCGGCAGACTCCGTGCACCAGAAAGATGGAGATGGATACGAATGCGTGGGTGGAGCGGAGTGGTGATGACAAACGGTAGAATGCATTAGAATTCTGGTTCGTGTTTCATTTAGACAACAGGTATCAATTGCAAGAGTCTTCAGCGTGCGCACAAGTCCAGCTTGCTGTCCTATCTGCAGTAATGTGCGTACGTTGTAGGTTGCTAGTTTAAACTGCGTTCCAGGTTGCACGAGCAAAGCTGGAAGACTTTGTGACTCGCAGCTAACTGTGGAACGATGTGTGGTTGTGTTGACGGATGTCAAAGGAACAAATTCATCGGTGTAGTTAGGATTGCTCACCGTTAAAGAATCAGATAATTTGCGAATTTATGGCACAAGGGATGGTTAGCTAAATTGGTGGCGTGTGTTTATAAAGTTAGTGTAGTAGCAGGATAGTGGTACATCAACGGAGCGTGATACAGAAAGCGCGAATTTGTGTGGTTCCATGGTTTATCAGTAGGCGAGATACTACCCGGTTGCTTAGGTCGAAGTATCTAGGTTGTCTTAAGTGGCCATCGCCCTTATCCTTTGGCTGAAGGGCATAACACACATCATGCAAAAGGGTAAGATCAGGGTTTCGCACCCTCTGGGAGCCGATGACTGATCATTCAGTTCATACGTCTTTCGGTTGGCGAAAAGCCACACCAGAGACCTAATACTCCCGAAGTCAGAGACAGAATCCGATGCTCGGATTGCTTACCAGTGTCCATTCTCTCGGAGGACAAGTTGCAGTGGCTTTATTTAGTGGCGAGTCACATCCGCCACGTCACAATGTTCTTAAGCAGACATTTATAGGGAACACGCTTGCCAAGCGAAGACGCAACATGTCCTGGAACATTGACATCGAACCATTCGCTGGAACGGGAGATAACCGAACCGCCCAGTTGGACCATGAGGGAGGTTGTTCGGCAAGCCTGTCAAACAGTACAAATTTATGACTGCTTCGCTTCAGGAAACGAGTACTGTAACTACTGTTTAGAGTGCAAAAATGACCCGTTAAAGTATATATTACATATCAGGTACAGCAGAAGTGAATTACAGTTTCCAACCATTACATAAAATACAGTAGAATTCGCTGTTTCTCCCTTAGTCTCATTAACATTTGACCGGCATCGGTTTCAATGTCCCCGCTGTGCATTTGACAACGTCCTCTTTGCTTCAGGAATTCTTTGACATGCTGTCGTGCTATACTGTTTTTTCCTCTCACCTAGAGTCTCCCCTTTCCGAACAAAGAGCAAAACGCAGTTGAAACCGTCCTAATGTTTGCCCTCCACCGACTGCGGTTCCCCTCGAAAGATGTGTACCTCTTTGGCTGGTCCATAGGTGGCTACACCGCGAGTTGGATTGCGATGAATTATCCGGAGATTGGTGGTGTGGTAAGTGTTCTGCTCCCTACGGTCTCACCGATGCTTGCGGCAAATCCGCATATCTGTTGTTCTTTTTGGCTTTTATCTGAAATCTGGTGTCATTGTATCCCTCATCGCAATAGGGTCTCGTCGACGAATATTCTGGAGCAGTCTAGGGTATAGTTGGTGCCACTTTGAGGTGCACTTAGAGCTCCCTAGATTCTACGGTTCTCAGTGGTAATCGGTTCATTTTCCTGTTCACTCCCCTTCTTTTTAGGCTTCCATCGCTGCCAAACTGTGTCATCAAGGGCTGTAGGTAGGTTTCAAAGATCGGCTTATTCGATGAGAGCGCTCTCTGCACGTTCGGGAGACTTGAGAACTGAGTTTGCTTTGTGTGTGCGTGTGTTGGGTGCACTCACCGCTAGTTCTCTCTCTCTCTCGCACACACTCACTGCAGCTTGCAAATGTTTGGATAAGTTGTCTATTGTTTGTTGCTAATGTTGGCAATATTTTTTTATCCAACTTCTCGGATTAGACTCTTCCCCGCGGTTTTCGACTACACTTACTGCTTTCGTTAGTTTATGTATAACTGTTGGATGTACGTTGTATGTGGGCCTGCTAGCTTCTAGTTCCTGTGTATGAGGCCCCCGACTATGCGAGACGGCCTGACACACTCTCTCACCTTACCCTGTATTATCGGCTGTCTTGCCTCTTTCATGTGACTTGACGTCTGGTCAATACACTGTCCTCTGCGGCGAAAGTCTGCTCTGACGACCACACGCTCGATTAACCGTGATTATAACGCATTACGGTCGCCACGACTGACCGATAGTAGAGCAGGTTTCACCTGAACACCGTCGGGTGAGAACAGGTAGTGTTGACGTGTAAAATCGTTGAGAAACAGTTTCGTTTCTCTTTTGATGTTTTTTAAGGGTCGGCTAATACAGACTTACAACTTGGACATATTTGATGTAGCAGTTATACTATCGGCTTATCTATGGACGGGCTTATACTCGGTAATTTACGGTACCTTCGTACTGACGCAGTTTCCTTTTAGTTAACGTGCATTGCTAGTGCTTGTGATTCCTGCTGCTTAAGCTGAGCTCGATAACCTATGGCTCGCCATCCCATCTACAGATCTTCCAGTTGGTTTTATCGATCGACTGCTTCTAGCCACTCGTAGTGAAACCCTGCAGCTACTTAATGCGATCAACACTGCCTGCATTATTGTCTGCAAATCCGAACTTGTGTGCTGAGATTTCAGCCCACTTGAGGTCATGATCACCTGTATCCCTTTCAGTGGCTCCACCCATCATGTTAGACAACCCACCAGAAGTACCAGTACCCCTGGTCCAGGATGCACCATGGAGATCCCTTTTGCGTATGTGTCCACTGGCGGCTTGTGACCATAACATCGTACTTCGCAACATGACTATTAAATCACCTAAGCCGTCAAGTGCATTGCTGATACCCATTCGTAACACTCATCTAGTTGACTGAGAACCATTTATTGAATTTATCAATACTAATTACCAGTACACATCGTCTTCAACCCATTATTCAACTGTATCTGTCAATTAATTTATCAACCATATTGTTTCATGTGTAGATATCTTGCTAGCTGTCGTATTAGACAGCATCCAGAAACAGTGTTCAACACAAGCTTCTCAATTAAAACCGCAATCAAATTGAGGAAATTTCAAGCTACACTACTGTAAGTGCATGAGGCTCTATGGTAGTTGCAACACTTAGGTCAAATACCCAACAACGAAATTCGGGCACTTAACCTGAAAAGTATACACTGGTGTACCTGGTTAAAAGGCCATCAGCCGCATCGAGAAATTGCGGCGCTGACTTTAGCTGTTGGTTCACTGACGCTCGACATCTGTGTGCGTGCGAGTAATTCTACTCTGGCCTTACCACCTCTTTTGTCACGAGCTACTTTCTAATGAATGAAGTACAGAATGCTGTCGCATCTATCAAACCACTTTCTCATCCGGGTCCAAGTGGCGTCACTCTAAGCTGTCTGTTGTAACTAAACCTCTTCACAATATAGCTAACTACGGGCCACTTTTCATCTTAGTCGAAGCACTCTACAGCAACGCTAACACGTGATGGTGGTTCACGAAATGAAGCGTCAAGCTACCAGATATATCGTATCTTTGCTGTTTTTAATTCCCTGGAATGAATAAGAATAATCAAGAACAATGTAGCTAGGCGTTTTATACAGCGAACGTAATGAATCATTCAGAGCACGACTTTCTTTCAAGCCGTTCTTGCACCACCATGCTTGGCATGCAAATCGCGTTCCACCGCTCTACTGGAATCTTATTGTATTGCAGATCCTCCACTAAGGTGGCTGGAACCACATGTAAACATGCGAACCGAAAAGATCAACATCCGTCAGCACCGCCCTACGTCGAAACAAATAACCAGCGGTGTATTACAGGGTAGTATGCCTGGGTCACTACTTTTATTAACCTACCCATCCAACAATTGCAACCAACAAACAGGGACGCTGATTTTTTGTCTACAGATAACGTCAAATTGAGCTACTCACTTCCATGCGTGGGAAACATATGTGGAGGCCTATTGGCATCGAATTTAATTTGAAGCACATTCGTACTGTATAAATACATCGTAAGCGATCGCGTCGCTAAATTTCATGATATGAAATTTGCTATTATCTTCTAAGGCGCTGCAACTGCAACACTACTTCCGTGCACAAACTATAATATGCCGCTTTCTGGTAAATATCTAATTTTTCACTATATCCTGCCATTTGAAACGGTCGCAAGGACCATGCTTTTGCAATGTGTGTGATCTGCTGTTTTTATTTTCATCAACAGTACCTAACCCGATGACATTGAAGGTGTCTATAGAGGCAGTGTCTGTGTCTCTCGTCCATTATGCCTTCTTGATCTGTTGATTCGGATTCACCACAAATACGCACATTGCAGCCATTATAAGTAGGGTACGGACGGGCCACTCAACTACCCACTGGAACATGGTTCTTCTCTGTGTTTCAGAGAAGCAGCCCATATCTTCATTGGGATGTAGGTTCGACGCAGATGTAAGTTGTTGACCGATGCATAATCGATTTCAGGTTGATTAAGCTCATATCAAATGCGACCTCGAGTTACAAGAAGTTCCTAACAACGCATTAGCTTTGGTGTGGAATTTAGGGAATCCTTATGTAAGGTAACCGGCACTGAACAGAGTGTATGATAGTAAAACATAAAAGACGACATAATTAGCGATTTCGATTGTGCGTGCGTCCCAATGAATAGGTCTTCGCAACGAGACTGAACTTTAACGTGGTGCGGTGGTTTGCGTACCTTCTTGACCCATTGAGCTGCATTGGGTGGCACTTTCCAAGTGCCTTTAGAACCACTCATACCTCAGAGGTTAATAGTTAGGGATGAGACTGATTCAGTCTCACAATTCTCTTCGGTGGTTATGGAGAGTTTGATGGCTCTCTTTCATCAATTCCGAACCACGGGAGACAACAGGGATATGTTGTAGGCTCACAGCTCGGTTAGCTTAGAGTGCCAGCGCTATGCATTGTGTCTGACAATGGGACGGCACTGCCCAGCGCTCAATAGTTTGTTATCTTCCGTCCCAAGAATAGCAGCCCCTGGTCCAATTGATGCAAACCCGCTAACTCCTCCCTTCTCGGCAGGCCCTAGTCGTAGGTGCGTAACCTACTGTGGTCGAACAACACGTGTGAATTTTATAGCTCTTCGAAGGCTATTTGTGACAGGTCCCAAGCAGATCCCAACGGGTCTCTGTAACCACACTCGCGAACTGATTTTTTCCACTGCCTTGTGGGTCAGGCTGTTAAACCGAAGGTTCCGGATCTATTCTCTCAAGCGAACCTCCATGTGGTCTACTGCTTTGTATGTCAGACCGCGGAGCGCGACGAGCTATATCACATCTAGTAACTTATTCACGATGGTCGTTGCCGTCCCCGTAGCTCAGTGGTCTCAACCACGGACTGGCAACAGTCGAGTTGCGGTTTCGAGCCCTACCAAGGGTCCGATGGAATGCGCACTGCTGATGATTCCCGAAGGGATGAAACGCGCGTACAGTGCTTTTCCGGGCTTGTGGCGGCTGTCTGAGTGAGCCTAGATGTGACGAAATTCTACCTATACCCTTCAACTCCCCCTACTACTCTTCTGCAATCAGTACACAGAACAAACTGCTTATAATGCCATAAGATAATTGGCGGCTTAAGTTTGTTAAGCTCGTCGCTTGGTGAGGGGGCTACCCTGTCCTATGCACGGCAGTAACGTGTAAGTCAGTGGATAGTGAGCGGCGCTATATCACATCTAGTAACTTATTCACGATGGTCGTTGCCGTCCCCCGTAGCTCAGTGGTCTCAACCACGGACTGGCAACAGTCGAGTTGCGGTTTCGAGCCCTACCAAGGGTCCGATGGAATGCGCACTGCTGATGATTCCCGAAAGGATGAAACGCGCGTACAGTGCTTTTCCGGGCTTGTGGCTGCTGTCTGAGTGAGCCTAGATGTGACGAAATTCTACCTATACCATTCAACTCCCCCTACTACTCTTCTGCTTATAATATTGTTGAAAATTCTGGTTTTTTTGAAATCTTGTTGGCTATTTTCGTTTCTTCGTGGTAAGTAATCATACTTTAGTATTCTTATAGTTGTAAGAAACACGTTTATATTGTGGAGTAAGATGTGCTTTGGCATGGTGGATGTTAGTATAGAAATCTGCTACTGTCGATTAAACATGGGTTGACAGTAAAAATACATTCCAGGCGAAAGATGGGACCGAGTATTGGAGATGTATCCAATTAATTCCCTAGATATAATATCATGCTAGCGCGTCCAGATTGCTATATATTCTAGTCGCTACGATTGTTCTAGTCGGCTCGAACGCTTCGGTCGGCACGACCGATACGGACCCCGCGTAAACATATACCCCCAACGCAATAGATCAGTTTTCGATATTCGCGAACTAGACGGGACGCACTATACCATTTCTCAATTGCTTACATCCTTAACACAATCGCTTTCATCCGTAGTGCAGCAGCTTGTATCCTTAGCGCAAAAACTATAATCATATAGTCACAAAAGTTGCATCCACGACGCCTTGAGTGATCAACCACTATCAACATTTGACAACATTGTTCATTCTGGCCATCCGTGCCTTACCTGTCCCCGCGCCTCAAAAGGACATCTCGTTTGCTCGCTCGAACCGTCTTTGTAGGACCGTTTTGACTATATTCACAACGCGCTCCATCAAAGCCAGGAGTCGTGATCCCGTGTTAGGGAATTGTTCATTGCCACATCTGCGTTCCTTCAGAACGGTGCAGACTTCGCCTTACCTTCAAATCCCAGACTTTTGGGTTTGAAACCAGTACGTGAGTAGGTCCGTGCCTCCACCCTCTTGTTGTTCAATGCTGGTGCGCGCCTAGACAAGCGGATGTCTGACGTCCGTGTATCAAGGCTTTACTTTGCTGGTACCCCGTATTGACTCTTCTCCGTCATGCGACCATCATCGGCCGCGCGCGGTTTAGGGCTACAACGATGTTTCACGCACCCGTGCAGATTCTAGCCAGTGACCATTATGATACAAGGTTGACAGAGCTGCTTTGAGGATAGCAGACGTAAAAATCTGTCTAATGAAAGTGCAGGCGATCATTATCGACATTCCGCTCCTCTATCTTGCTCTTCAGTGAATTCCATTTTTTATTATCATTGATACTTTGAAGCTTGCTGGTTGTGACTGGGCTCGTTAGATTGAATGTCATGATACTGACCTAACAAATAATCTCGCTTATTGCTTTGATCACTTATGTTTCTTCGCAAGTTACTCGTAATTACCCCGTAAACCTTTTTGACTCATTACGCCACAGAGCCCACTGAAATTTACCTTCCAAAATCTGTGGCCTTTTAATGTACCATCATATTAAGCACCGAGCCCTTTATTCTGCTTTCGCCTCCTCACCCTTTTAGATTTTGGACGCAACCTTTGACGACGTGGAACTGTTGGCTAGAAGATTGGTTCCGGATATCTTTTGTAGGTCCACACGCATTCTATCCCGGTTTTCTTATATCTCACTTATAACACCTTACTTTACCCCTCATAGGTCCACTCGTTGTAGCGACTCTTCGCAGTCACCTGGACTTGAATAACCTGGCACATTTGAAAGCGTGAGTCCTAATCTTTTCCTTCGAACACTTCTGTGGTCCCTATGTCAGCAATCCAAAATAATGACCCACATCTCCTCAACAACTGCACACCAGTTAATTAAATTGATGCTTCAATGCTATTCAATCATCATAACCTGGAACTGCAGCTTAATGAACAGTGAAGACGTAGGACCCAGCCTCAAACACATGCTCTACAAATATACTCACTATTAAGCTTCATACGTTTTCTTCAGCAACACATGCTTACTAGCATCTGGCCATTGTCCGTAGATAACGCGGCATCGGTTAGCTAGCTTCCTTGCGGCATTTACTGCCACTTATCTCAATCGACCTTACTCCATGGACGACAGCATCGGATATAATTCGGTCAAGTATTTCGGATCTTCGAGGACAGTAAATGATCGATTGCTACTGGCTGCCGTCTATGTCATGCAAATTTTCGAACCAGGCACAAAATGGGTTGCGTGGACTGCAACTATAATACGAAAAGGCCGACAATACCCAGGTTGATCGTCAGTATACATACAAGCCGAGTAATGGTCTCTGCAGTATGATTCGCCATCATGCTGTTTGATTGTTCTGCGTGTTTGGAGCGTCAGCGGTAGTCGAAGAACAGGTTGAATACCGAGTTGCTAACTCGAGTCGCTTTTACTGCTCACGAAGTACGTCTTCAAAATCGGATGCATTTTTGGGACCGTTTTATTAATGCACGTAGGGTAGTCGCACTTCATAGTCACTCCCAAACTATCCATAACATCTTGAGTCAGCACCTAACTTTGAGTCTCAAGCGTAGTTGTAACCATCGACGAATCTTCAGCGCCAATGTTCATAGGGCTAGAGCTTTTTGGGAACCGCCGAGCACTCTCTCAGGTCTTTCGATGTATGGATTTGTGAATGGCACTTGGGTGAATTCTGATAACAGTGTCCGAATGGTGGTTCTAAATGGCGTGTTCTGAAGTACACCATGTGTTGGACAACTCAGTCTACCAAAATCACTTTAACTCGCACGGGGTGTCGATTTCTTTATACCTCGCTTCCCATTGCAGACGGTTGTGGCAAATTTTCACCACTGACAATCAATCGTTCTTGAGTAGCTCGGCCTTCTGATCCAAAAAGAGGTCTGTGTCCCAGCTGGCTAACGATGAACACGAATGCTCACATTACCTCATGCTTTAGGTTATGCGGGTCAGCCTTCGGTTAAGGTTCTTTTTGAAGCACATACCTTAACTGTAACCATGCCGATTAGCTTTAACGAGAAACGCAGTAAGTACTTTCTTTTCTTAGTGGTCAGAATTCGCATCCAATCACAGCTAAACCAGCGCACTAAGCTTTCCCACTGAGTTACATCGAAAATATCAGGTTTCATCTGGATTGAATCTCTGCCAACTTCCACCTGTTACCTTTTGCATTGCCAACACACAGGTCACTGATCATGATCAGTGACCTGTGTGTTGGCAATGCAAAAGGTAACAGGTGGAAGTTGGCAGAGATTCAATCCAGATGAAACCTGATATTTTCGATGTAACTCAGTGGGAAAGCTTAGTGCGCTGGTTTAGCTGTGATTGGATGCGAATTCTGACCACTAAGAAAAGAAAGTACTTACTGCGTTTCTCGTTAAAGCTAATCGGCATGGTTACAGTTAAGGTATGTGCTTCAAAAAGAACCTTAACCGAAGGCTGACCCGCATAACCTAAAGCATGAGGTAATGTGAGCATTCGTGTTCATCGTTAGCCAGCTGGGACACAGACCTCTTTTTGGATCAGAAGGCCGAGCTACTCAAGAACGATTGATTGTCAGTGGTGAAAATTTGCCACAACCGTCTGCAATGGGAAGCGAGGTATAAAGAAATCGACACCCCGTGCGAGTTAAAGTGATTTTGGTAGACTGAGTTGTCCAACACATGGTGTACTTCAGAACACGCCATTTAGAACCACCATTCGGACACTGTTATCAGAATTCACCCAAGTGCCATTCACAAATCCATACATCGAAAGACCTGAGAGAGTGCTCGGCGGTTCCCAAAAAGCTCTAGCCCTATGAACATTGGCGCTGAAGATTCGTCGATGGTTACAACTACGCTTGAGACTCAAAGTTAGGTGCTGACTCAAGATGTTATGGATAGTTTGGGAGTGACTATGAAGTGCGACTACCCTACGTGCATTAATAAAACGGTCCCAAAAATGCATCCGATTTTGAAGACGTACTTCGTGAGCAGTAAAAGCGACTCGAGTTAGCAACTCGGTATTCAACCTGTTCTTCGACTACCGCTGACGCTCCAAACACGCAGAACAATCAAACAGCATGATGGCGAATCATACTGCAGAGACCATTACTCGGCTTGTATGTATACTGACGATCAACCTGGGTATTGTCGGCCTTTTCGTATTATAGTTGCAGTCCACGCAACCCATTTTGTGCCTGGTTCGAAAATTTGCATGACATAGACGGCAGCCAGTAGCAATCGATCATTTACTGTCCTCGAAGATCCGAAATACTTGACCGAATTATATCCGATGCTGTCGTCCATGGAGTAAGGTCGATTGAGATAAGTGGCAGTAAATGCCGCAAGGAAGCTAGCTAACCGATGCCGCGTTATCTACGGACAATGGCCAGATGCTAGTAAGCATGTGTTGCTGAAGAAAACGTATGAAGCTTAATAGTGAGTATATTTGTAGAGCATGTGTTTGAGGCTGGGTCCTACGTCTTCACTGTTCATTAAGCTGCAGTTCCAGGTTATGATGATTGAATAGCATTGAAGCATCAATTTAATTAACTGGTGTGCAGTTGTTGAGGAGATGTGGGTCATTATTTTGGATTGCTGACATAGGGACCACAGAAGTGTTCGAAGGAAAAGATTAGGACTCACGCTTTCAAATGTGCCAGGTTATTCAAGTCCAGGTGACTGCGAAGAGTCGCTACAACGAGTGGACCTATGAGGGGTAAAGTAAGGTGTTATAAGTGAGATATAAGAAAACCGGGATAGAATGCGTGTGGACCTACAAAAGATATCCGGAACCAATCTTCTAGCCAACAGTTCCACGTCGTCAAAGGTTGCGTCCAAAATCTAAAAGGGTGAGGAGGCAAAAATAGAACAAAGGGCTCGGTGCTTAATATGATGGTACGTTAAAAGGCCACAGATTATGGAAGGTGGATTTCAGTGGGCTCTGTGGCGTAATGAGTCAAAAAGTTTTACGGGGTAATTACGAGTGGCTTGCGAAGGAACATAAAGTGATCAAAGCAATAAGCGAGATTACCTATTATGTCAGTTTCATGACATCCAATCTAAAGAGCCCAATCAGAACCCGCAAGCTTCAAAGTATCAATGATAATAAGAAATGGAATTCACTGAAGAGCAAGACAGAAGATTGGAGTGTCGATAATGATCGCCTACACTTTCATTAGACAGATTTTTACGTCTGCTAGCCTCAAAGCAGCTCTGTCAACCTTGTATCATAATGGTCACTGGCTATAATCTGCACGGATGCGTGTAACATCGTTGTATCGCTAAACCGCGCGCGGCTGATGGTGGTCGCATGACGGAGAAGAGTCAATACAAGGTAACAGCGAAGTAAAGCCACCAGTTGATGCCTCGATACACGGACGTCAGCCATCCACTACTCTAGGCGCGCACCAGCATTGAACAATAAGGGGTGGAGGCACGAACTTACTCACGTACTGGTTCCAAACCCAAAAGTCTGGGATTTGAAGGTAATGCGAAGTCTGCACCGTTCCGAAGGAACGCAGATGTGGCAATGAACAATTCCCTAACACAGGATCACGACTCTTGGCTTGATCGAGCGCGTTGTGAATGTAGTCAAAACGGTCCCACAAAGACGGTTCGAGCGAGCAAACGAGATGCCCTTTTGAGGCGCGGGAATGGCCACAATGAACAACGTTGTCAAATGTTGATAGTGGTTGATCACTCAAGGCGTCGTGGATGCAACTTTTGTGACTATATGATTATAGTTTTTGCGCTAAAGATGCAAGCTCCTGCACTACGGATGAAAGCGATTGTGTTAAGGATGTAATCAATTAAGAAATGGTATAGTGCGTTCCGTCTAGTTCGCGAATATCGAAAACTGTTCTATTGCGTTGGGGGTATATGTTTACGCGGGGTCCGTATCGGTCGTGCCGACCGAAGCGTTCGAGCCGACTAGAACAATCGTAGCGACTAGAATATATAGCAATCTGGACGCGCTAGCATGATATTATATCTAGGGAATTAATTGGATACATCTCCAATACTCGGTCCCATCTTTCGCCTGGAATGTATTTTTACTGTCAACCCATGTTTAATCGACAGTAGCAGATTTCTATACTAACATCCACCATGCCAAAGCACATCTTACTCCACAATATAAACGTGTTTCTTACAACTATAAGAATACTAAAGTATGATTACTTACCACGAAGAAACGAAAATAGCCAACAAGATTTCAAAAAAACCAGAATTTTCAACAATATTATAAGCAGAAGAGTAGTAGGGGGAGTTGAATGGTATAGGTAGAATTTCGTCACATCTAGGCTCACTCAGACAGCCACCACAAGCCCGGAAAAGCACTGTACGCGCGTTTCATCCTTTCGGGAATCATCAGCAGTGCGCATTCCATCGGACCCTTGGTAGGGCTCGAAACCGCAACTCGACTGTTGCCAGTCCGTGGTTGAGACCACTGAGCTACGGGGGACGGCAACGACCATCGTGAATAAGTTACTAGATGTGATATAGCGCCGCTCACTATCCACTGACTTACACGTTACTGCCGTGCATAGGACAGGGTAGCCCCATCACCAAGCTACGAGCTTAACAAACTTAAGCCGCCAATTACCTTATGGCATTATAAGCAGTTTGTTCTGTGTACTGATTGCAGAAGAGTAGTAGGGGGAGTTGAAGGGTATAGGTAGAATTTCGTCACATCTAGGCTCACTCAGACAGTCGCCACAAGCCCGGAAAGCACTGTACGCGCGTTTCATCCTTTCGGGAATCATCAGCAGTGCGCATT